TATATATATATATATATATATATAACTTATCACAGTGCTTGAGCGGATGTCGCCGCATTTGTGGAGTGGATTCTGGCGAGAAACGGATCTCCTCTCACTGTCACTCCCGAGGATGATCTCGTCAGATCCACTCCAGACCCAGAGTCCAGCCCACCATCTCCCCGCGGTGCAGAGCTAAAGCCCGAGCCCACCGATGACAGAGAGCCAACTTCCGCCGCGATCTACGAGCCAGCGCAATGCCAAGCGACTGAGCAGAGGATCGCCCCGGAAGTAGAGCCCAAGTCATCAGACCAGGTGCGTGAGCCGGCTGCAACGGCCATCGTGAGGGAGAAAACCATGGACTGTGAGAGCGTGGAGTGGAGCTCCACCCACTGCACAGCGGCTGATAATACATCTGGGACTGCTGAACTTAGAAGTAGATCTTATTGACTGGGAAACTGAGCTGGAAGCCTATTTGCCCCCTCTCCTCTCTCCTTCGTCCCCGCTGGTCCCGTCCAGCCCTGAGGGGGCTCACGTTTCCCAATCCTGCCTCCTCCACCGCTGTCGTCTGGCAGCCCCTCTGCTCACCCTCAGCCTGCCGCTCTGCGGGTCTGCCATCCTCCAGCGTCGCCATGGCTGGAGAATCCCTCACCTCCACCTGCAGCCTCCGAGACCCGAACTCTGCCTCGGCCCGTAGACCCAGCGGCTCAACCTCGGCTCCTAGCTCCCTCGCCTCCACCGTCACCCGTCGATCCACCAGCTCCACCGGGCTTCATCGGGCTCCGCCTTGGTCGGGTGTCGACCTGCAATCGCCTCAGGACTCCGCTCCTCCGGCTGCACCTCGTCGCTCTGTCCCACCAGCTCCATTGGGCTCCTTCCTCCCGCCAGCTCCACCTTGGTCCTCAGTCACTTCGGCTCCGCTGCGGATCTCCGGCTCGGTCGCCAGAGCCCTCGGCTCCACCCTGGCCCCCCGGATCCTCGGCATCCCCCTGGCTCTTTGACTCTCTGTCTCCACCTCGGGCTCCTCCACCACCTGCTCCGCCGCCATTGGTCGGCCCCCTGGAGTCGGCGGCCATTCCTGCTCCATGACTCCTTCCTCCGTCGGCTCCACCGTGGGTCATCATCATGGCTGTGGCCTATGTCCTGCTGTGCTCCTCCTGCTCCGGGCCTCTCCTGTCTCCTCCCTGGCTCTTCCTTCCTTCGTCGCCTCCCTGGTCTCTGTCTGCCGGCCCCCTCCCGGGCGTACGTCCTCTTCCCAAGCTCCCACCTATGCCTCCCTCTGTTGTTGTCTACGGTGCAAGGACGCACCTTCCCGGGAGGGGGCAAAATGTCAGGATTGGACCTGTTTTGTCATGTGTTTCAGTTCCTGTTTTGCCTTATTTGGTCTGGTTCCGGTCCTTGTTTAGTTTGATTATTAATTGATTGCCCGCACCTGTCTGCCCCTCGTTATCCAGTCCTTATAAGCCCCAGTCTGTTCAGTTTGTTTTGTCGGTTTTACTTGTTGTCTACGTGTGTTGGCTCAAGCTCCTATTGTGGAATATCTCCTGCGTTTCCTTGATTAAAGACTGTTCTCGTTTACTCGTGCCTCCTGCGTGCTTCCTCAACAGTGTGACGTGACAACCTCTGATCTTAAAAATATATTAAAAATGGTACTTTACGATAATGATATAGCCTAATATTAAATAAAAGGCCACTTAAGTGTACTTTAAGAGAATACACTTCCATGACTGTTTGTTAACACACTCAAGTACACTTTAACACACAAAAGTCCACTAACAGTGTCAAATTAAAAGATAAATTTAAACCCCTATTTAATCTTTTGTGGTGTTTTAAAGAAGATTTTGATGTGTTGACTAACATACTAAAGTACAAAGTAAATTACTACTTCATCATTATAAATATGCAGTTACAAATATATTTAAATATGTGGCATCATGCATGTTTAAATGGAAATAGCATTTAAGTATGTTTAACTTACCATATTGCAAAGACAATATAATATGAAATTACATAAAGATGGACTTAAGTACTATTCATAAAATGTCTCATAAATAACTCAAAAGTTCAGTTAGTTGCATTTAATATAAATGTAAACTATTAACTGCAACATTGCGTTCAGTTCACACTTAAGTATGTTCAGTGGTTCAACTGCAATTTTATAAAGCAACTGAAACGTTCAAGGCCAAGAAATACAGTAAGGACATCTTTAAAATAGTCCATGTGACATCAGTGGTTCAACCGTAATGTTATGAAGCTAGGAGAATACTTTTGTGCACAAAGAAAACAAAAATAACGACTTCATTGAATAATTTCTTCTCTTAGCTTCATAAAATTAAGGCTGAAACACTGATGTCACATGGACTATTTTAAAGATGTCCTTACTGCCTTTCTGAGCCTTGAAAGTTTCAGTTCCCTTGCTGTCTATGCAGGGTCAGAAAGCTCTCGAATTTCATCCAAAATATCTTAATCTGTGTTCCGAAGATGAATGAAGGTCTTATGGGTTTGGAACGACATGAGGGTGAGTAATTAATGACAGAATATGCATTTTTGGGTGAGCTATCCCTTTAAGCGTATTATTCAATAACAAGTACTCTTGCTCAAGTGTGCTAAAGTGCACTTGTTTTGGTTTGTGATGTTGGCTTGAAATCTGATCTGAAGATGTATTTGCTGCTGGATCTGTTCATTATCATTTTTTTTGCCCGTGTCTGACAGAAGTTCATTTGCAAACAGGAGGCATTTGATTTCTCTCTCATTTCGGCTTTAATTTGTGCCCCTTCACAGCGAAATTAACCCCTCTTCATTTCCCATCACTGTCAAGAGCAGGTCGCCACGGAAACGGTTACCGTGGCAACAAAGGGAGGCGGCGACCGTCGAGCCTCCTCCTCTGAGCTCTGGATGAGGGGCTCGTTACAAAAATGGGCTCAGCCATGTTGAATTAGCACTAATTAGGATAATTAAGCTCAGTCGCTCTCTGCTGGGCAAAATGGCTTCCGCATAGAGTGGATGAATAAATTAGACAGAGACACAATCATACGGTATTGTGGGCGACGCCGGCGGCTCCTGGCCAAGAAGCCCAGAGTTGCGCGTTTTTTGCCGGATAAGCGTTACAAATCACGGCTGTTTTTATGCGTTCTGCTGCGATGACCGACTCCTGCGACACTTCCAGTAAACAAATGAAGCGCTGTGATGTTCCAGAGGAGCTGGAGGAGCTCCAGAGATGCTCTCACAGATTTGGCAGACAAACACCTTTAGCTGTGAGGTGGATTTGGCCAAATGTTTCCTCTCTCTCTCTCTCTCTCTCTCTCGCTGTGTGTGTGTGTGTGTGTGTGTGTGTGTGTTTGTTCCACATCAAGTTTTACAGTCGTTTTATGTTCTTCGTGTCATACTGCAGCATATGATGTGGAAGCAGATGACTGAGCAGAAGACAGCAATGATGCACAACAACTTCAACCATTAA